CGGTCTCCTCCTCGGCCACCTCGACGTCAGACTGACCTGAGCCGAGGTCGATGATCTCGATCATGGGGAAGTCTGGGTGTCCCCCACGACACAGGTCCGCCGCCGCCGCCGCGGGCGTAACGCGGACGGCCGAAATAGGAGTGACTCTGAGTGGCTGCGCCGCCCCAGCCGTCGGAGGGGAGTAGACTACCAACTCCCCAGTTTCCTCCGCCGCGAAACAGCCATCTCCGGCAGGGTGGTCGGTTACATTACCAGAAGGGCTCGACATAATCGAAAATAGAAAAAGAAAAGAAGATCTGGAGATAAGCGGAGTTACCGAAGTTAAAATCGTCAGAGGGAGTCGCAAAAACCTCGAAAATCGCTCTGAAATTCTGCTCGGAAATTTGATTGCTCAGAGATTGGTTGCTCGAAAATCGCAGAAGTAGAAAACCCTTCGAGGAGGACGATGACCCGTATATATATGCGCGGTGGACCAACCACAGCATCACACGTGGCGCAGCATTCAAAATTCGAAAATTATGACGCGATCCAACGGTCGGAAGAGAAGTGATCCGACGAGTCACAAACGGCCGCGTGGGCGTCACGCGCCCCAAAAGCCGCCGTTTCGCTGAAACGACACGCCGTTTGACGCGGACGAATTAACGAACGACACGTGTAAAGGTCCTGAACCGGCGCGACTTTTTATGATCGACAGGAAGTGTAACGGTCACGACGCATTAAATGACCCGTCGTTTCGGGTCTGGGAAGGATATGCGCAACAAAGGGGAGATAATTTTGCGAAGTGGTAGTTACGTGTCGACCTCGGATGTACTGGATAGCGACCTCACAGAGGATACCGAAAGCACCCTCTCCGAGCTCGGGGGCCTATATGTTGACACCCGAGTTCGAGAGTCGAACCGGAGACCCGGTCCAGTAAGAAAGTGCCGAGCTGGACCGGAAAACTTTTTGACCGTAACGCCCCCGTGAGTCCAACAATCAGCCCGGCGTTTGCAACAGTGAAGTCCCGGTGCCGGTCTGACGAGTGACGAGCTGGAGGAAGGCTCACCAGAACTGGAGGAACGAACGAAGATAAGGTGCCGACTTGGGGACCCAGAACGGGTGTCCCCAATGAGGAATGCCGATCTGGATGATAGTATGATGATGCCACTTGGAGAGTAATCATTGGTGATTGGACGGGATATCCTAGCCTACAGACCTACTTCCCCTAGCCAAGACATAAAGTCTGCCAGCATTAAATGACCCACATGAACACATTAAATGCCTGTCAGGCAATGATGAGGAAAACCTCAAATCACATTAAATTCTGTCAGGGAGGCGCCGAACTGCTCTGCAAAGAACACTGTACGACAAGACTGATGAATAGTACCTGAACAGTGTCACATTTAAGGCCACTATAAATAGCAGCCCACTTCATCTATTTTGGGTTGTTGAATCCCAACTGTAAAAAGCTTTCTTGATATTTTCTCTCTCTAGACTTGTAAAAAACTCGTGTAAGAAACTTCAAGTATATCGCAAGTGCCGACCTCGTACGAGAGGCCGACCTCGTGAACTTTTAATAAAATCGTGATTAAACCTAATTCCTAGTCTTTTTCCTATTATCTTTCCTTTCCTCAACTTCTTAACCGTTGACCGGAAACGTCTGTCAACAACATTAAACTATAAAAAAAAAAGTATATAGAGACTTATATCATGTCCAATAATTCAATTCTTAGCTTATACAAATTTAAATTATATTATCTCAAATATTTAGTTGTGCTTTCATCAAACAAGTTTTGTGCATAAATTCAAACTAAGTATATTTCTAATTTTTTCTCACAAATCAATTCATATTAACTCTTGATTATTACAAAACATAATAAATATCTTCATTGCACTATTAAAACAAACATTAATACAATCTTCTTACAAAATTTGTAAAATAAAATTAGAATAAGCAATAATTTATGTCTTTCTTTTTTAATAAAAAAAGGTTCCAACATCTTCTAGTTTTGAGAATGAAAAAATAATAGATTATTGAGTTTCTTCCTAAAAACATATGAACTAAATTGACCTAGAATAATATTTACATTGAGCTACAAATAAAATAAGAAATGCTAAAGTTGTGCTTTGTTTTCTTGATTGTGAGATTTTTTTTTTTTTTTTTTGGCCTTTTTAACTTTTAATTAATAATGAAGAAGACTAATTAATGGATGAATTGGGACTTGGGATAGAAGGAAGGTAATGGATTTTAATATTTTGGATTTTTATTGTTGGACTAACTTAAAAATTTGTTGGGCTTTTGTTATTGGCAAATTCAAAAAATGGGGCTATATACAATAATACTCTAAAATGTAAAGTAATTTTTTTTTTTT